TAGACCAGGGACAGGACCAGGACTAGGACTAGACCAGACTAGACCAGGACTAGACTAGCCAGGACTAGACCAGGACTAGACCAGGACTAGACCAGGGACCAGGAACAGGACTAAACAGGACTAAACAGGACTAGACCAGGACTAGACCAGGACTAGGACTAGCCCAGGACTAGCCAGACAGGACTAGACCAGGACTAGACCAGGACCTAGCCCAGACTAGACCAGGACTAGAGACAGGACTGAACTAGACAGGACTAGACCAGACCAGGACTAGACCAGGACTAGACCAGGACTAGGACACCAGGACAGACTAGACCAGGACTAGACCAGGACTAGACCAGGACTAGACCAGGACTAGACTAGACCAGGACTACCAGGACTAGCCAGGACTAGACCAGGACTAGACCAGGACTAGCCCAGGACTAAACAGGACTAGACCAGGACTAGACCAGGACTAGACCAGGACTAGACCAGGACTAGACCAGGACTAACCAGGACTAGCCCAGGACTAGACCAGGACTAGACCAGGACTAGCCCAGGACCAGGACTAGACCAGGACTAGACCAGGACTAGACCAGGACTAGACCAGGACTAGACCAGGACTAGACCAGGACTAGACCAGGACTAGACCAGGACTAGACCAGGACTAGACCAGGACCAGCCCGGGTCTGACTGGAGGAGGTTTTGGAGGCAGGTTTATGTCTTTTTCTTGGATGAGTGAGTAAAAACACAGGGACTTGAGGGACGCGTCTCTGAGGACGAGAGACGAGAGACGAGTTCATTGAGTCAAACACAAACACAGAGGTCAGAGGTTCAATCCCCGGGGCCGTGGTGCTCTTGAGCAGAACACATGATTCAGACGTGGAGCCGCCGTAAACTCAGACTTTTATTTTGTCTTTTTCATCCTGAGTCTGTGATTTTTATTCAAATAAAATAAAACTTTGACTCTAATCGAACAGTTTTAGTGCAGCAGCAGGACGAGGAGGAAGTGTGTGGCCCAAAGGCACAAGGGTCACACCAGCAACCCTCACCTCAGAGGACACGAGGAAGACGACAAACCAAAGAGGACAAAAGTAACAAGGACAAAACTCAAGTGAGAATCCTTCTCGGTGTTTTAAATGTTCATATATAAAAAGTGTTAGAAAATATCAAATGTTCTGTTCATGTGTCATAAAGACGTCAGTGTGTGAACTTGAAAGTGTCTCTGAGGTTGGGACTTTGTGATGTAAACGACACATAAAGGGGGAGTGTCTCTCTGACATGTGTCAGTCTGTGACAAAACTGTCTGGGTCCATATTCATATTCATATAAATGAGAAAAAAACTGTTGATGTTTGGACGAGACGCTGGAGTAAAAAAGCCCCTGGTGGAACAACAAACACACATGAACCTAAACTAAACTAAACTAAACTAAACTAAACTAAACTAAACTAAACTAAACTAAACTAAACTAAACTAAACTAAAACTAAACTAAACTAAACTAAACTAAACCTAAACTAAACTAAACTAAACTAAACTAAACTAAACTAAACTAAACTAAACTAAACCTAAACTAAACTAAACTAAACTAAACTAAACTAAACTAAACTAAACTAAACTAAACTAAACTAAACTAAACTAAACTAAACTAAACTAAACTAAACTAAACTAAACCTAAACTAAAACTAAACTAAACCTAAACTAAACTAAACTAAACTAAACTAAACTAAACTAAACTAAACTAAACTAAACTAAACTAAACTAAACTAAACTAAACTAAACTAAACTAAACTAAACTAAACCTAAACTAAACTAAACTAAACTAAACTAAACTGTGAGATCGGTCGTGAATAAGACATTTCTCCTGCACGAGTTCTTCACGTCGCTCATTCTCTGGATTTAATGTTTTTAACTGAAACGTGGATTAACAGCGGTGAGTCTGTCGCCTTTTCACAGCTTTTACCTCCTGGTTTAACTAAGCCTGACCCTGACCCTGACCCTGACCCTGACCCTGACCCTGACCCTGACCCTGACCCTGACCCTGACTCTGACCCTGACCCTGACCCTGACCCTGACTCTGACTCTGACTCTGACCCTGACCCTGACCCTGACCCTGACCCTGACCCTGACCCTGACCCTGACCCTGACCTGACTCTGACCCTGACCCTGACCCTGACCCTGACCCTGACTCTGACTCTGACTCTGACCCTGACCCTGACCCTGACCCTGACCCTGACCCTGACTGACCCTGACTGACCCTGACTCTGACCCTGACCCTGACCCTGACCCTGACCCTGACCTGACCCTGACCCTGACCCTGACCTGACCCTGACTCTGACCCTGACTGACCTGACCCTGACCCTCTGACCTGACCCTGACCCTGACCCTGACCCTGACCCTGACCCTGACCTGACTCTGACTCTGACTCTGACCTGACCCTGACCCTGACCCTGACCCTGACTCTGACCCTGACCCTGACCTGACCCTGACCCTGACCCTGACCCTGACCCTGACCCTGACCCTGACCCTGACCCTGACTCTGACCCTGACCCTGACCCTGACCCTGACTTTTATTAATGCGCCGAGAAAGACGTGGAGGAGGTGCAGCTACTGTTTTAAAGAAGTGTTTTTATCACAGAATCTTTCTTTTTCCTCCTTCGACCTGAGCTGCTTTGATCCGCTGTGTCGCTGTCGTTTACAGATCATCTAAGCACAAGAAGGATTTGATCAAAGACTTTTCAGATTTTATGGCTTTTATGTTGACTCATTATGACAGGATTTTAATTGTCGGTGATTTGAATGTGCATGTCTGCTGCCCTTCAAACCCATGGCCAGAGAGTTTTTAGATTTATTTGACTCTTTTGATTTGACACGTGACTGGCTCTACGCAGACGCACGGACTGTAGACCTGCTTTTACCCTGCGGCTTCCCGCTTGACCGTGTTGCTGTTGGGACGCAGTTTTCACCACAATCCTGTCATGTTTGATTTGAACTTGGACAGTGACGTGATGCCACCTGCTCCTGTGCGCAAAACTCGCGTTAAGTCCGATACAGCGGCCGCTTTTACTCCTCTTTTTGCGGCGTCTGTTCTCACCCTCTGCCCTGACCCTCCTGCACAGACACGGACACAGACACGGACACAGACACGGACACAGACACAGACGCGGACACAGACGGACACAGACACGGACACAGACACGGACACAGACACGGACACGGACACAGACACAGACGCGGACACACAGACACGGACACAGACACGGACACAGACACAGACGCGGACACAGACGCGGACACAGACACGGACACAGACGCGGACACAGACACGGACACAGACACGGAGCATTTAATGATTTAATCAATGTGTTTATGTCCCTTTGTACCGGCGTTTTAAACACTGTAGCTCCTTTGAAAGTCACGCGCCCGAAGCCCAGACCAGAGCCACGGTTTAACGACACGCGCAGCCCGGTGCCGTAGGGCGGAGCGCAGGTGGAAAAGGGACGGACTGAAAGTGTCTCATCAAATTCTTCAAAGCAGCTGGAAGAATTACCAGAGTATTGTTAAAGCTGAAAAGAGTACATTTTTTATCGGATCTGATTTTAAGTAAAGTGAATCAACCTCGTGTTCTTTTTAAAACAATCAGTTCTGTTCTTGATCCTAGTTCATCCACTGCACTGGAAATGACACGGGAAACATGTGAAAAGTTCCTCTCCTTTTTTAATGAGGTGGTTGCCGTTATCAGAGCCAACAGAACCACACTTGTTCTAATGTTGCCATGACTCAGTGTTTAGATGTTTTTAGTCAGTTTGAGCCGGTGTCACTGTCTGTAATCACAGGGTTTGTTAAAAAGCTTAAGCCATCGTCCTGTCCCACAGACCCAGTCCCACCTCGCCTCTTTAAGGAGGTTTGGGACACTACAGGCAACTTGGTCACAGACATTATTAACAGGAGTTTGTCTTCTGGCACTGTGCCCTCTTTTTGTAAGAAAGCTGTGGTTGAGCCATTGATTAAAAACCAGATCTTGATCCCACAATTTTATCGAACTATCGACCAGTTTCCAAACTTCCCTTCATGTCAAAAATCCTGGAGAAAACTTCCGGTCGGACCTTGAACATGGCGACACGAGAAAAACACTGCTCCCCGACTAAAGTTGAAGAAAAGCCCCATAAGCCTGAATTCTGATGTGAAGAGAGGAGAAACTGTACAATACTAAGGGGCTTCATGATGAGAAAAGGTAAAGCAAAAAAGTTTACTTCTACCGCTGGGTTTAGAACGAGCGAGGACGAGGAACAAGCTAGGCTAACACCCGAGCTAACGGAGGAACCCGAAGACGCAGCTCAGGTCAGGTCCCCGAGAACCAGGAGATGTGGAGAAAATGTCCGAGTTAGAGACTGTCTTGCCAGAAATAAAAGAGTTCTGCCGTGAAAACGCGAAAACGCTTAAGGACATTAAAGACGAAATTAAAAAGGCAAATTGTCGCATTGACGAGGCGGAGAAGCGAGGAGGCAGAAGAGTCCAGTGCATCGAAGGGACAATATGCGAGCTGATCAAACTACAGAAACGTCTCGAGGACGGCAGATTGATCAGGAAAGCCGGGCCAGGAGGGAGAACCTGAGACTGCACGGTATTAAAGAGGCGGCGGACGACAGTGCGGCGTCAGTCGGGGGTTTTGTTGAGGCTTTGCTCAGAGAAAAGCTCGAGTTACCACCAGCTTTTGAGCTACTGTTGAGAGGCTCATAGATCACTGGGTCCTCGTCCCTCCAACGACGCTCCTCCGCGACTATTACTGTGAAGTTGTCAAGCTACAGGTGCAAAGAAGAAATAATCAAAAGGGCCTGGGAAAAAAAAGGTTTTGTCTATGAAGCTCAGAGTCTATGTGGACCATGACTATGCACCTGAAATTATGAAAAAGCGAAAGGAATATGCTGAAGCAAAGAAGGTGCTGAAGGAGAAAAAAATAACATTTCAAACACCTTTTCCAGCCAAACTTCGTGTTTTCTACGAAGGAGAGACCCGCATCTATAACCCAGCAACAGAAGCAACCAAAGACATGGTGGGAAGAGGATTTCAGGTGCACATTGTCAAACCTGCGGACGACCCACTGGAGATGATGTCACGTCGAATGTGGCAAGTTGCACAGGGAGAAAACACCGCGGATCAGAGCCTCTCAGGGATATAAGCAGAAACTACAGGCCTTCAGAAGAAGCAGGGAAGAAGATCAGGAGACAAGTGTGAGACGATGACTGTTCCACTGTCAATAACCCAACGCACAAGAAAAGCACAAGTATATGGTCATTTTCTTTTCCTTTATTAACTGTAGCATTGGTCGGGGCCTCTGTTTTTTTCTCTTTTTTTTCCTTTTAAAAAAAAAAGAAAAAAAAAAGGGGGAAAACAAGGACCAAAACAATTGTAGAAATGAACAGGGCTGTAAAAGACCAGGAGGCCCCCCCCCTGCCTCCTGGACCAGGGCCTGTCCCTCGGAGCTGGACAGAAGATCTAAAAAGGTGGATTTTCAGACCTCATGTCTGGAAGTTCAGACTGACTGTTGTTGGTTTTGTTTTTTTTGTTGAAGTTATTATCTTCTTATAAGTTCTTGTTGGCAGCACATGGGCTGATCTTGTGTACAGGATGACATCATCTAATACTAATTTGAAATTAGCCTCATATAATGTAAACGGACTCAATCCAATTAAATGAAGTAATGTGTTAAACAAAATGAAGAAAGATAAAGTTGAAATTCTATTTTTACAAGAGACTCATATGACTAACAAAGAGCATGAAAAATTGAAAAGGAATGGAAATAATCAGGAGTTTTCGTCTTCCTATAAATCAGGTCATAGGAGAGGAGTAAGTTACTTCTCTCTAATCGAATCTGTTTTGATATGTTAAAAATAAAAAGCGATGGGGAAGGTGGATATGTTATAGTGATTGGGAGACTAGAAGTGATGTTGGTCACGTTACTCAACATTTCTGCTCCTCCAGGCTCAGAGTCGGCGTCTATAAGCACCTGTTTGATTTGGTTACAACAGAAGGAGGGGGAGTGTTTACAGGCGCTGGGGACTTAAATCAAAGACTCAATCCTGAGCTCGACTCTTCTGGGAAAACTCAGCAAAAAAATACTGTCAAATTATTATCAAACCTTAGTATTTTAGACATATGGAGGGAAATACACCCCAGAAGAAAAGATTATACATACTTTTCGGCCCCACATTCTTTATATACAAGAACTGACTACTTTCTGCTACTTGCCAAAGGCAGATATATGGTTGAAAGCTGTGAAACTGGAGTAAAGGATCTGTCTGACCACTGCCCATTGTTTTTAAAATTAGGCACAGGGACAGAGAAAAAAACTACAGTGTGGCGTCTGAATACAAGCCTGTTAAATGGTCAAATAAGAGAGGAAATTGAGAAAGATATTTGTAATTATACTGAGCAAAATGATAATGTGGACGTCTCCCCAGCTGTGGTGTGGGAGGCTTCAAGGCAGTAGTGAAACTGATGGCCAAATCAGTTCACTTAAAAAAGATTAAACAAGCCTCACTCCAAAAATTACAAGAGGATTTAGAAAAATTGGAAAGAGTTCACAAGAACAATGGTGACAACAGAATTATGAATGATATTAAAACAAAAAGGGCAGAAATAAATAATATATTATCACAAGAAATCCAGAAAAAAATGATTTATACCAAGAAGTGATACTATGAGGCTGGTAGTAAATCTGCAAAACTTCTGGCCCACAAACTTAAAAAACAACAGGCAACGAGACATGTTTACAAGATAAAAAACCCACAAACAAATCAAACGGTATAGAAAACCAGAGAAACTCAGAGGTGCTTTGAAGACCACTACAGCAACTATATGCACAGACAAAAACTGAAAATGAGCGAATTGAGAGTTTTCTAGAGGAGTTAAATCTACCACAAATTACAGAAGAGCAAAACAAGAAATTATTGGCAGAAATTACAGTAGAAAAAATAAATTCTGCAATTTCAAGGCTAAAAAATGGTAAAAGTCCGGGGGGTGAAGGTTATTGCTCAGAATGGTATAAAATTTACAGGAAAAAAATTACTCCACTATTACATAAAACATTTAACTGGATTCTTAAGGGAGGAAAAATTCCAGAATCTTGGAGGGTAAAGATGTGACTAATTGTTCAAACTATAGGCCAATAAGTGCTTAATGTGGATTATAGACTCTTCACTGCAACACTGGCCAGGAGAATGGAGAATATCTTAACAAAAATGATTAGTTTAGATCAAACAGGTTTTATAAAACATAGACAAACACATGACAATATTCGCAGAACGTTACATATTATGCAGCATATTAAAGATGAAAATAAGGAGGCAGCAATCTTGGGACTGGATGCAGAAAAGGCATTCGACTCTGTTAGATGGGAGTTCTTGTTCAGGGTTATGAAGAAGTTTAATTTTCATGAGGGAATTATCAGAACTATACAGTCTCTGTACACGAATCCTATTGCAAGGGTAAAGGTCAACGGTAGCTTGTCTAAGGTAATTCAGTTAGAAAGGGGGTGTCGTCAGGGATGTTCTGTCAGCCCACTCTTATTTTCTGTGTTTTTCGGAGCCACTCAGCCAATGGGTAAAACAGTTCACTAGTATGAATGGAGTTGTTGTGTCAGGAGTGGAGCATAAAACAGCCCTGTTTGCAGACGATGTACTGTTCTATTTGGAGAATCCAAACTTATCATTACCAAACTTGATGCATTGTTTGACAGAATTTGGTAAACTGGCAGGTTATAAAATTAATGTTCAAAAAAACCCAAATAATTGCTTTTAACCACGAGCCAAGTTTAGCTATAAAACAAAATTGACTTGCTGAAATGGGACCAGAAGTCAATGAAGTATTTAGGTATAACATTAACGAAAGATTTGGACAACTTGAAAATGGCAAATTATAATTCTGTAATATCTAATATAAAAACAGATTTAGCTAAATGGAATTTAATTCCTTATCTAAGTCTTGCATCTAGAGTGGAAATAATTAAGATGAATATTCTGCCTCGACTATTATATATTTTTCAAAATCTCCCTGTTGAGGTGACGGATAAAGACTTCAAAGAATGGGACACATTCATTTCTAGATACAAATGGCAAGGAGCAAGACCACGTACAAAATTTAGAACTTTACAATTGGCAAAAAATAAGGGTGGTCTGGTGCTTCCATGTTTAAAAAGTTACTATCAAGCTGCTCAGTTAAAGGTGTTGCTGAGTTTGTGTGATCCAGATTATGTTGCAAAATGGAAAGACATCGAGGGTAAATGAAACCACCAATACAGGCGTTAATGTTTGATGTTAAATTACAAATATTGAAGAAACAAAAGGTTAACCCTTGGCTGTGGTGTCTCTGTCCATCTGGTCCAGTCTCTTGAAGAAGCATCATTTAATAGAGCAATGTAGATTATTTAGATTGATCGCATATGATACTGATTTTGGTCCAAACCAGTTGGATGGCACCTTCAGAGCACAGGAAAATGGTCCAAAAATGTATTGGGAGAGAATAAAAAACAAAGAAATGCTAAGTTTTCAACAGATAAGGGACATGTTTAATCTTGGTAAGCAGGATTTTCATGGAGACCTACAGCTAAGGCTCTATTTAAAGCAAGAACTTTATAAAGTAAACTGGGATCTATTTCAATCAGGGATTCTTAAAATAGTTCTGGATGCACTTAAATCAGAGTTAATTAGTAAAATTATATCCAAACTATATACAGCTTTGGAAGCTTTAAAGGGGGACACCACAGATTATGTGAAAGAAAGATGGGAAAGAGAAGCAAACACTGTCATTTCAGTAGAGGATTGGGAACAAATAAGTTTAAGTCAGTGGACAACCACAAACTCTGTATTCTGGAGGGAATATGGATGGAAGAACATATATATATATACATATATATATATATATATATATATATATATATA